CGAAGAGTAGGATCGACTGACCAGTCTTATGGGTTTTTTCTGGGTTCTCTGACCCCCCCCCCCCCATTGCTAAAGACCCCCACGCACAAGCTAATTATTTAAATAGAATTGTAACATGTTAGTCCCGGAATGACTTTGTTTATATCCGAGCAAAATGATCCACCCCAGCGTGCAAACGGGTTAAACTACTTTACGTATTTTGGATGAATTAATAAATTATGTTTTACTTTTCTTGAAATGTCAGACATCTACCTGTTTCTACATGTATGTATTTTAATACTATAAATATACTAAATTCATAATACACTTTTATACCATGCTAAGTGGGTAAGACGCTAGCTCGCTAGCCTGGAGGTCGGGTGTTCGATTCCTGCATTGGCCGAGAAAGTTCATCCAGATTTTCCGGCGTGGTTCTCCCTTGTCAGTGATGCAGGACGGAGGGGCTGAAAAGCAGAGATGTCTAGTCGTTCGGATGGGACGAAAAACCGAGGTCCCGTGTACACATTGGCGTGCACGTAAAAGATCCCTTGGCAGTTGGAATTCGATATAAGAGTAGGCCGTAGTGCCGCTGTCCGGGCAAAATTTCCCTCATAGCACACTGTCTGGCGTATGCCCGTCTTCATTAGCCCAGGTTAGGAGCAGAACAGTAGGACGTTAAACCCCATTTCATTTCATTTCATTTATACCATCAGAAATCAGACACATATATAGGTATATTTCAATTTTAACCTTGTCGAATGACATTACCAAATGTTTCACATACAATTCATACCCCTAAACCAAGTTGCATCGTTTCGTCGTATAATTGCCACAAATCTCATACTTTTAACACAATATACAATGGGATAAATAAGAAACAAAAGTTTATTTTAGATGCGCAGACAAATGTCAGCCAGTATTATTTATACTAACAGTTAGAAATGCAAGTTTTGTTTGTTTCGGGCGGGTTTTAGAGATGAGATTTGTGTGTGAAATATTTGGTAATGTCATTTGAAACAGTAAGTCATAATATATACATTTTGCAAAAGATTTCGCTATTATATGCTCTCATATGTATTTCACAAGTCCAAACATGCAGTATTTTTTAATATAACGACGGTTGTCACCTTTCAGTGTAATTAGGCAAGTATGCGTATAATAAGACTGTTTTCTAATAGGGAAAATATTAAATAATACATTATCCTTATATTTCTCTCGTTTTTAAAACTATAACGTATTCGAAACTGGAATTATCCCAAAACTGTGCGCAAAAGGATAATGTAAAAGTGAACCCGAAGTCGTTAGCTACGTAAGAAAATACTTCAAGCCCACCATTTGTTATTTTAATAGGGTACACTGATACACATTGTTTACCAATAAAGTTAATAGCAGTCGTTTACTGAAGTCCACTTAAACTGTATTTAAAAGACGTTCCATACAATAAAACAGTCCATGTATTTGATTTATGACATAACATATATTATTAATAAATCTTCATATCACGAAGAATCCTTTCAAGTTGTTGATCTTAACAATGCACCGCAATGATAAAGTCACATAGTTTAAACAGATTATGAGGCGTGATAAAGATTGTTTTTGATCAATAAAAAAAATTTTAATAGAAAAACCTGTATGCATTTGAAATAAATTACGATGCGTTAAAAGTATGTGGATAGAAATAAAGCGAGAAAGTTTCAGTGGTATTTTAAAAAAGTAAATCAAAGTGTTAACGTAATGTACATATTTGTCTTCCGTACTTTCCTTTAGTAATTCCATAAGTAAAATGACGGCACTAATATGCTATTGGGGGTGGGGGTGGGGTGGGAAGATCCCTACATGATGGCGAAAATTGTGCGAAATGACTTAGTGTTTGTTTTAAGTGTACACTAACACCCACTCTCCACCCACCCACTCTCTCTCTCTCTCTTTCTCTCTCTCTCTCTCTCTCTCTCTCTCTCTCAACGGGTGCCATGCATTAATTAAGTAAACCGTGTTACCACCACGTCAAGGAATTGTTTCACTTCACAAGCAACACTGAAAAGAAATATTGAATTTCGTAAGATGAGCAATATACATGGTACATTGTTGTTAAAGGGCGTTACCTTAAAATAGACGAGAGAGAGAGAGAGAAATGGGGTTTAACGTCCACTCGACACAAACTAGGTCATTTCGAGACTAACATATGGTTTTAATTTTATTTCAATAATTCGCTTGCGCGTAGGGGTCTTTAGCAGTGGGAGGAAACCGGAGGACCCGGAGAAAACCCACGAGGTTGGACAGGCGACCCTACTCCTTGTCACGTACAACCGGGGATTCGAAACCACACCAGTCGACTCAATGACAGACTTTATGATACAGCGCGCGCACGATAACCATTCAGCCATCCAACCCCCCTAAAATAGACGAATATGATCTGATAGCACATATTAATGTCATATGAATGTATATAAAGCGATTTATATTCTATTTTTAAAAAAGGAATTATTGTAATTTATAAACAATTATGTTCGGTGGAATACATGACAATCCAAATTGAACGACAATCGTTTACGCCTGTTAAGTCCATTCAGCAGTTTTTTTTAAATAAAATTTTGTCGTATGTGAATCAAAAATTACTTTGTTTATTGCAAATGACGCCCGAACAATAGAATATACGAATCGTGTACCGATTAAAAAAAAATGTTTATTGTGTTTTAGATATTGGATATTAGGATCCCATATTTCCATGGCACGATAGCAACATCAATTTTGATTGAAATGGACCAATATTGAATTGTAATTTGTGTTTTGAATTTGGAATATTATGAAAAATATTGAGTTAGAGGTTTAGCTCCTTTAAACAGGTGACTCAGTGAGTAAGACGTTGGTTCTCTAACCTGGAGGTCCAGTGTTCGATCCCTGCGTTGGCCGAGAAAGTTCATCGGCAATTTTCCGGCGTGGTTCCTCCTGCTCAGTGGTGCAAAACAGAGGGCCTGGCAAGGGACAACGTATAGTCACTCGGATGGGACGAGAACCGCGGTCCCGCGTACAGATTGACGTGCACGCAAAAGATCCCTTGACAGTTGGAATTCGATACAAAAGTAGGGCGTAGTTCCGATGTTCGGGCAAATATATGACGTTTGCCCGTCTTCATTAGCCCCGTCGGAGCAAAACAGTAGGACGTTAAACTCCATTTCATTTCAATTCCTTTAACCAAGTGTGGATATGTACATTTAAAATCGTATATTTATTGTTGCAAAAACGATTGCTTTGTAAATAAATATGGTACAGTCTGTGCTATTCTCACAAAACTGATATTTTTTGTTATCTTCTTAAAGTACAGCTGTTATATTTCACAGGCTGCTTTATACAGATAGTAGGTTTTGAGTATGTCACTTATTGTATATTCAACAAAGAAATGGGATTCCCTGGTGAGATATATAGCTTATATGACTCAGTCGCATGTTTAGTGGGTGCGGGGGCTACGGGCCATTTGGAAAAATGAAGAACAATAAATCTCCGAATAATGATGGGTATACCATACAACTTTACAATTTTTACAAGTATGATAAAAAGTGTTACCCTTAAATGAGAAGGAAATGAAATGGAAGGAAATGGGTTTTAACGTCCTACTGTTCTGCTCCTAAACTGGGCTAATGAAGACGGGCATACGCCATACAGTGTGTTATGAGGGAAATTTTGCCCGGGCAGCGGCGCTACGGCCTACTCTTATATCGAATTCCAACTGCCAATGGATCCTTTACGTGCACGCAAATGTGTACAGTGGACCTCGGTTTTTCGTCCCATCCGAACGACTAGACAGCTGTCCTTGTCAGGCTAAATGAGAAGGTGTATCAGTTGTTCTAGGAAGAGAAAAGACACAATATCACGTACATGGCAGTCGTCTTATTATGATGGACAAACCATACAACTGTACACTGTTTCAAAGTATGATAGAAATTGCTACCCTTAAATGAGAAGGGGTATCAGGTGTTCTAGAAGGAGTAAGCATATCATGCCACGTGCGTGACAACCATCTTATTATGGCTAAATTGGGGCAATGGTTAGGACGTGATTTAAGAAGCCGAATATATAGCTGCGGCCGAAACCAAACGGTTAAACATAGAGTACAAAACGAACACCGGGGACCACCTCTCATTTAAGGAGTTTAAATATTTAACATTTTAGCATACTTTTTTCCAATTAATGAAGTGTATAAATTGTTACACTAATGAAATGAAATGGGTTTTAATGTCCTATAGTTCCGCACCATCCAGGCTAATGAAGATGAGCCTACGCCGTCTTGAAATTTTGCCCCTCAAGAGGCTCCTCGGCTTACTTATTTTTCGAATTCCAACCGTTAAGTGTTCTTTTAAGTGAACCTCAAAGGGTTCTCAGTTTTTCGTACCATCCGAATGATTAGACACCTTTCCTTGCCAGGCCTTCTGTTTTGTGCCACTGACAAAGCAAACCACACCGGAAGATCTGTAGGAACTTTCTGGGCCAACACCAAGAGTGAAACCCGGATCTCCGGTTAGTTGTGCCAATGTCTCTTACACTCACGGTGCCATCAATGTTCCTGAAGCAACGGCTGCGAGTTTTACAACATCTGGACGTTGCTAGATTACTTCACAATTCCGAACTTATAGCTACTTTATCTACAAACACTTGAACAGTAGCACCCAATCAGAGGTTGTGACATCGCGACCTCCACGGAAACCTTGACATTGATCGAACCTTGAACTTTGCAACTCGATTATCACAGGTTAACATTTTAGCTTGAAAGCGCGAGACTTGGTATTCGCGGCGACCGAGGAATCTGATAGGCTCACAGACTGGGCTTGTACCCAATCAAAATTAGTTCCGAAATATTATGCAGGGTATTACATGAAGGCCTTGATAAGATGTACGTAGTTAAAGCGAGATCAAGCCAATCTATTGAAGATGGGTGCCACCGTAGCTCCAATTACACTTCTGACCAATGTAACGTTGTTGTTTCACATGTTAAGTTTCTTATTAATTTGTAATGGTTGTTATTTCAGGTTTTAACTCCACATGAAATTATAGATTTTTATTTTAAAGATCCGTATAATATGATTGTAGAATCACTGTTATATAAAGGTAATGGTGGAATAGAACATGATATCAATGTGGAAGGTATTAATTTATCATTTAAAAATAACACGAAATAAATGATAACACGAATTGGTCGAACGAATTAAAGATGCGTTGCGTAAACTTTAGATAAAGGGTTGGTGATTCTCGCTGTAATAGTTCAAAAATAGATAACGAAAAATGAAAATTTTGGAATTTTCTGTCAAATTACTTTTGACAAGAAATACCTCGAATAGTCTCGATTGTCCAGTAACATTGCTACGATAATAAACGACATCTTGATTAACCATTTTAAAGTATTGAAGAATGCAAGGAATGCAATAATAATACATGTGATTAAAGGGTATGCGAATAAGAAATCTAATTTGTACCCAACGATTTTGTTCATAATTTTATAATTGAAACCCAATTGGAATCTAATAATGACATGGAACTAATGGGTTTATTTTACGTTATGTCTACGCTTTGGAACCAATAGATATCATTACCAAATTGTGCCCTTGGTAACACGCAATCTAATGTTATCTACGGTAACACATAATCTGGTTACCTGCACGGTAATTAAATGGTCAAGAATATATATTATATATATTTTATTTTACAGGTATATATTCCATATGTTTAGACAACACTTTTACTAGTTATACCTCTAAAATTGTGTATTTATACATTGTAACATTTATACCTGAAGAGTGGGCGAAATACGTCAATGAAATCGGCGAACTTCATGGTTTAGCTGAAAATTATACGGTAAGAATATTAAATAGTAACCATTGAATGGTGAATTACGTCAGTTTGAATACGGCAGTTTGGCGAGTTTTGGGAAAGTCATAAAAACTGTCGCCAAAGACCCATAAAATTTATGGGCCAAGTAACTAAACAAAAAATGAGGTGAGAATGAGATGAATATCATCCTTGTAGGTACGGTGCATTTAATGGAGGTCTTGTGTTAAAATGGAATTTTTAATTATTGCACGAAATCAAATTTTAAAAAAAGGTATAGAAGTAATTTTTAAAAAGGTATAGAATTAATTTTTAAAAATGGTTTCAAATATTTTTAAAATGGTTTCAAATTATTTTTAAAAATGGTTTCAAATTATTTTTAAAAATGGTTTCAAATTATTTTTTAAAATGGATTAAAATTATTTTTAAAAATGGTACTTTCCTAACAGCGCTATGTTAAATGACATAAACTATAGAATATTATGGTATTTTTTCAGGAACTTTTAAGTGATGTCCAGCTATCTATAACAGAGATGAAAAGATTACAAGCCCAGAGTCGTTTTAATGTAGTGAAGGACTGGTATCTTATTAAATCAAACAATGAATACATAAAAACTTGGTCTATTGCTCAAAGTATTATTATTGTAGCAACTTCGTTATTTACAGTGTTTTTTGTGCGAAGGCTTTTTAAAACAGAGGCGGTAACACCGACTAGTAAACCACGTGCCTAATTATAAGTTCAATAAATAAATAATTATTTTGCATAATGTGTTTTACTTCATCTTGGTTTTACCCTAAATTCTACATTTAATGTCAAGTTTAGAAGTACAGTATAGTCACCCGGACCAATATTATTACCGAGTAGGATGGGATAATAATAACGAAATAAATCAGTCTATAAGGAGGTAAACGGCAACCCTTTTTACCGTTCGGTAAATGTATCACCTCCATCATTATGGACATAAAGGCCCACTGATGCGTCTGTTTTAGGCTCGGTTATTCATAATATCTTGAAATATTTCTTTTTCTTTTTGTGGAGTTACATGTATCTCTACTGTCCTTTGATTTAAGCTTGCTTGTGGGTGGTGGACCTATGTTTCGTTAGAGGTAGGGTTTTGAAAACTGACTCTATGGACGTCCATGGACTTCATAAATTTACCGAACGGTAAAAACGGGGCGCCGTTTACCTCCATATAGGCGGTAATTATATTGCATCGTGTGGTTTAGTTAGGTCATACACAATTTCTCCCATTACCAAAATGGTGATTTTCAAGTAAACGCCTGCGTACACATTTAAAAATAATAAGGTAGTTTACACCAATTCGGGTGGAAACTAGTTGCCACCTAAATAGGAGTAACTCCTAGCCTTTAGTGGTGTAAACCGATAACGCCCTACTAGTGTAGAACATTACATCAATTCAGGTGGAAACTAATTGCCATTTCCAGTAGTTCCAGTAGTGTAACCTGCCTGATGCACTCAGACAGTGTAATGTTACACTTAAATATATAGTTGACACCCGTGGGTGTAGATTAAGCATTACCCTTCAAGGATGTTTTGTAAATTAAACTTCCATTTTGATTATTAAACCAACGCGGGTGTAATTTGTTTTGTTGGATATTTATTTCAATCCAATTCAGAAAACTTGAAATTGGCTATCGGTCTCTATGATAATTAGTATAGGGCGCATAGCCCGACCCAGATTACATATAGATCGTCGGCTACTTAGCTTCATTTTACAACGACATTAAATTGACAAATACCCATCAGACTGATTCAAATTAGAGAATCTGTATCAATTTACAATGAATATAAGAATATAAATCACGAGGAAAAATCAATACAATACCCTTACAACTTAGCTGAATAATGTGGTTTATTCATTTATGCACCTCACCTGAATTAAGAATTATTAATAAAGATATTGTACTTGGTAAAATTTTGAAACATTTACACGTCTTTAAGTGTATACAAGCTAAAATAATGCATACTTTACTCGTTATGAGTTATAGCTGTGTTACTGGTGCAATTAGCGCTATATTTTACCCCCCCCCCCCCAAAAAAAAGAACCCACTCAAATTGGAGTACACAAAAACTTTTGTAACGCAAGATACGGTGTTAATTTGACACCTTATTCGGAGGAATGTTTCCCTAAAATAATTACACCTGTTGGTGTAAATGCAATAGAAGTCTTGTAGAGCTGTAGCTCATCCCAAATACCCTTTAGCGGTTACAATTACACCTATCTTGGTGTTCAGTACTTACGAATATCGATTACACTTTTTGCATCCCAATAAACGCTGTAAAATTAACGCTGTTCTATGATTTATTCCCCAGTAACAGTTACACCCTTTGGTGTAAATGCAGTATAACACTGGTATTGGCGCAGCTTATCCAAAACACCCCACAATTACACCTTTTCAGGTGTTCAGTAGTCATGAATATCGGTTACACTGGTTAGGTGTAGTTCTTTTAGTTGGTTACCCTTGGAAAGGTATTACATTAAAAAAAACAAAAACACGCTAGCTGTGGGGTAAAGTTTACACTTAATTAACACTGCTTATAGTTTCTAGGGGGGTTGGATGGCTGAATGGTTAGCCATAAAGTCTGTCATTGAGTCGACTGGCGTGGTTTCGAATCCCCGGTTGTACGTGGCAAGGAGTAGGGTCGCCTGTCCAACCTCGTGGGTTTTCTCCGGGTCCTCCGGTTTCCTCCCACTGCTAAAGACCCCAACGCGCAAGCGAATTATGTAAATAAAATTAAACCATATGTTAGTCCCGAAATGACCTAGTTTGTGTCGAGTGGACGTTAAACCCCATTTCTCTCTCTCTCTCTCTCTCACTCTCTCACTCCCTCTCTCTCTCTCTCTCTCTCTCTCTCTATAGTTTCTAATTACACCCAGTTTTAACAGTGTATTCAACTTTTTCTACTCCGTTCTTCATTCCATGTTGAGATTGATTTGACCAATTATATATATTATATCAAACTTGTTTCAAAGAGTTTAGGCCTGTGCATACAAATGATTATACCAGGTTGAAAACCTAAGTTCCTGTGGGCCACTCAACTTCCACCACAGCGATTTCTTTTCGCCGGTTTGAATCGACACATCAAATCAGAAAGTCACGCGTTTGAGGCGCCAGCTTGAGATTTGAGTTCTGTTCCCCTAAGTTAGCGCCATAGCAAACCATCAGTGAGGCTGGTGTAGCCCGCTTCAACCCCGAAAATAGAATATTACCCTTACCACTACGATGGCCGAGCCACCAGAGCTAGTTTAGAAGTTATTGTGTACGCAGTGAGCTTACCCTAGGAAAATTCCTTCATATTTTAGTTTGTTTACGGTAATATATCTCAATACGCCAGCATAGGAGGCTACTGGAATTTTGCAGTCTAGTAGTTTATTTATCCCTGGATTCTGTAAAACAAACAAAAAATTGTCACCAAGGCTGGTTCGGGTGCTATAACTCGATACGCTAACATAGAAAGTTAATGAAATTTGGCATGTTCATACCCTATGCATCTGTCAAGTTAGTGAAATAAAGATCTTGGAGCCATCAAAGCTAGTTTAGAAGTTATTATGTGCGCAGTAAGCCTACCCTAACCCGATTCCACCTTATTTTTAGTATGTATACGGTAATATATCTCGAAAAGCCAGCATATGTGGCTTCTGGAATTTTGCAGCTTGCTAACGTCATTTCCAATGAGGTGCGGGAATACGGGTGAGAGATTCCGCTCGGTGTTTGTTCGAGATCTGCGACCGCTTAGTCGTTGCTTGTCACTGACCCCGTTCATGAAAATGCTTTTCGGAAAAGCCCCACACCTCTTTTCTCCTGTCTGAAACTGCTTCTGGTGGTCCTTTATGCATTTTCCAATTTTTAAGGCAATATTTTCCACATGAAAATGCGAGAACAAAACCTCGAGGGGAAATGAGGGGAGGTAACTACTGTGGCATTAAAAGAAATTCTACCACAGTTCTATTTGTTAGTGTTATTTGTCGGAGATATCACTTCGATTGAAGCCGACGATAAATAAACATATTTCACACACAGTCCTGTTACCCACTGATTCCATTACAAAGAGCCAGTTACGTTTCAATTATCGGAAATAAACCCAACAGAATTTTGAAGACCACCTAGATTGACTAAACTGCTCATGATCTAAATGTAATGTCTAAAGTCATTTCAAACGTAATATCTGAAGACATTTCACTAAATTTTAGCCGAATAATGATACCATTTTTACAATAACCACATTCTCCTTATGTGTATACAGCTTAATAAAATAACACATTCTGAAAATCATTCTTCTTTATTTGGATTACTTATGTATACTTACAAAATCTTATATCTATAGTTAAATACAAAGATGAATTACAGATTATCTTCAATAGATATTGTGTTGCCACGTATAAATATGTACAATATATGTCCGCAAAATACACAACTAACAAGTACGATCGTAATATGGACAAGGAACTGACCATGTGGTTGGATGAAATTCAAAAATCTAATTCAACGAATCGATGCAGAATTGTTCAAAGAAGAAACATGCCAATTTCCATGTCGATCGGACGACTTGAAATGACGGAGCCTTAGGCTTTTTCGAAGAAAGTGACTTCAAGAAGAAGAACAAGACGAGTAGCGGTTAGCGACCAGTTCCTGGTTCAAAAATCGTTTTAATATATGATTATACATATATCTCAACACCAAATTAGTGTTCTTTTGGAACATTCCCCGATAATGTCCACATTTTGTTTAACAGAAATTATCATTATTTGTTCTGTGTTTTATAAATTTATACAATACACCCCTAATGTATGTCTATCGTTATATACAATCATTTGTACATGCTGATGTTCAAAAATCCTATAAGCCCTGCCCCTGCCCTTATAGAAACGTTGGTTAAATATGTCACTTAAAAACTATCCCTTGACTTAAAATCTTCCCCAGTTTATATGCAGATTCGTTTTACATTAACAGACTCTTGTAGTCTTGGTATAGTTTCTATTTATTTGTGTTGATGTGCTTGATAACGACCTGTGAAACCTGTTTGTTACATATTCTAATAAACCATAGTAATTATTATCCATAAATGGTGTTTATTTGACTATGTTCCAATTACCAAATGCCATTCAAAGAGTATCAATTTGCATGCCATTAACAAATTTCTGTTCTTAACTGAGGGAATTGCTTCAGAAATGCCAGACACTTAATAGTTATCTTCGGTTTTAGATTGTGTTTGACAAGGCACTATAAACAATTCAATTTGTTTTATGTATATCAATGTGATATATTATATATTTCTGGAAGAATCCGCGAAAATATGACGTAAAAGCAGAAAAGCAAAGATATTAAAGAGGGGAAGATTCTGAAATTCTTAACAATAAGCATATCTTTAGCACTTGTGCTATAAGCAACATACCGTAGACAGAAATACAGTTATTGATAGCTGTTGTTGTAGTGAAAGTGTTACGAGGGGTGACTGAAAACTTCTATGTCTGAAAATAATAGATCAATTGGGTTGAAACAAACCTTGGCCACCAACAAGTACAATCATTGAACAAATCATATAGGCAAACGAACTATAACTGTAATATTATTGTTGTCTTCGTACCAGACCATCTTGTGAACCTACCCATTGAAATCACCAGAATTGGACGCAACTGCAAAGACTAACCCCAAAACAGATACACACCGATAGGTGGGTTGTGGAATTTAAGTGCGGCAGAGAGAGCTTTGACGATGACCCGCGTCCTGGAAGGCCATTAACAGCAACCCTTCAAAAAGAAAAACAAAAAAACATTTACCCGGGAGATTACAAGGTGGTGGCTGATCGACGATTGATCACTCGACATGTTGTCAGTGTTATAGGCATCTCTCATGAGAGGAAATGAAATGAAATGAAATGGAGTTTAACGTCTTACTGTTCTGCTCCTAACCTGGGTTAAGAATGACAAAAAGTGTCTGCAAGATGGGTACTATCTATTGATGCGGATCAGAAACGTGTCAGATTCCTGATGTCCCGCGACAATCTGCACCGGTTTGAAACAGATCCTGGTAATGCTTTAGCCAGATTTTTAACCATGGATGAGACCTGGATTCATCATTATAAACCATCGTTGCCAAAGGTGCATACACATCAAAGGGGACTATGTAAAAAATAAATGGAAATCATCGACTTTGTACAGGTCTTTTACAAATAGGCTTAGAACTTTTCAGCTAACTGTCGTATATTCAGCTAGTCGTAGCCGGAATGAGTATGGTACTCAGGGTGCTCGTGGTCTGTTGGAGGTGGATCTGGGGGTATAAAAGCAAGTTGTATAACAATTATCTGTGGTATTTCTAATGAAGATTGTGCTCCCTTGCTAGCAACAAAAAGGGAAATGGGAAAGATGAACTTTGTGAGGGTAGCGGTATTTAGTTTATGTGAACATCAATATACACACTTCTACACCTAGTTTCATTGTCAACCTTTTCAATCACGCTTTAAAAGAAAAGTAGATCACATGCGCCACAGTTGATGTAGCACTACCCACAAATGTTCAGTCTTTTAGATTACATCAGAATAACGTAGGTTAGATGATCCATATAAATTATTGATCACATTCAGAAAGCTCAATTATTTTTGGTACATGTCGTTAATTGGCGACACTAGAAATATTCTACGAATTACCAAAGAATGGTTCGAGAATGGTAACGACGATCACCTACTGTCACAGATTTAATGTTTAGCCGCGTCTACTTGCCTAGCTCTAAAGACCCCCCCCCTCCCTCCCCGCGATTTTCCTTCGGCCTAACGCAGAATGTACTAAAGTTTGGTGGTCTAGAGCAGATTAGGTAATGGATTAGCAAGGTTAGCTATCCCACAAATTATTCTTGTCGTATCTGGGGTTGAACCTTTGATATCTATCCAAAACGCTTAAAACTAAAACATTTACAAAAGTGTAAAAGCAGAATACACTATCGGCAACAGTTACGAAATCGCTTACTATAGAATTCAGCAACACATATGCCCAAGAACTCGTCGTGCGATCATTCTCACTGAATTGCATGTATATATTTACTAATGTACACAAATGCAAGAAAACGAAATCAACCAATTCGCTATATGACAGTATTCATTTACTTCTATAGTAAACGATTTTTATTGCTGTTGTTTTTATCATTGGCGTTAGATGGTTCAAAGCGACAAACACGATGTTATTTTTAGTTAGAATGCGGGACAGTTGGCCATTAATCCTGTACTTTAAATTGTCTGTCACGGTTTGTATGCATCCAAGATGGAGATGACAAGGCGTTGAGCAGGATCTATAACTCCACGTCATCTAAATCAAATTCTCTATCCATACTGTCTAAAGTCTGTGTACTGATACTGTTGCCATTACTGTATGTAAATGTTTGTGTAGCACTAGAATTATGACTGTATGCACTGCAAAATGATCCAGACGAATTCAAACGATGGGTAAGCTCATAATCTGAAAAAGATAAAAGGAAGACAACTCACGTTTAGAATGCAATAACATATATATGCACACATTATAATTACATTTGATGCCACGTATTGGTAATGACTGGGGTCAACAATAAGACGGGTGCGTCCTGTGGCAGACATCGTGATTAAAGTTTCACATTTTGCTTTGAGCACCATATTCAAGCTCAATCCGGAGATCTAACATTGTAAGCCTAGGGAAGAAGGTATTATTCAAGACTAGCTGGATACCCGGCTTCGCCCCGGGTCCAAATTCACCCGTGGCACAATTCGCCGCAAATTCGATAGCCTAAAACATTCGCGGGGTTATGTTGGTTTATTTGATACCACATATGGTGATGGAGCGCGGTGACGAAGCGAGATTCACCCGGGGCCCAGGCCCAAATTCGCCTGGCACCCAAATTCGATGGCCTAAAACATTTACGGGGCCTTGCTGGTTAATTTGATACCACATATGTGGGGGTTGTGCGCGGCGACGAAGCGTAATGGGCAAACATACACACAGATCTTTGATTTTATTTATATAGATAACGTAATGTATCATTTCATCAGTTTTCAAAGAGATGTTAATGTCAGAAGTCGAGTACACTTTTAAAAGAAAAGAGATATTAAACAAAGTAAAAATAAATAAGCACACAACATGCAAGCACTTTGGAACCAAGGTGCATATTATGGGTTATTTAAAGGACGGTCTTTTCATCCCTTTCTTGTAATCAGGCATTCAAGAGTACATGCGTTAATGGAGATGATGATATACATTATAATACAGACTGATGCATTCCTTAATTAAAGAATGGGAATATGGGCTGCCAGGCTACGATACATACACGAACAGAAGATAATTCTTCTGTCTGTAGTATATATACAGGTTGTGACCTACGAGGGAAGTCAATAAGTTCATAGAAGTTCACAGAAGCCAATGGTTGTGATATTGATTTTATTTTTCAATATAATCTCCCTGGACCTCGATGCACTTTGCCCATTTGTCTTTGAGAAGTCGTCTGACTGGCCCCTCAGCCACGCCTCAGTAGCTGCCTTGAGTTCATCATCATCGCCAAATCCTGTACCACGCAAGTGTGATTTCAAATTGCGAAACAGTTAGAAGTCGCTTGGGACCAGATCTGGACTGTAGGGGGGATGGTTAAGTTGTTCAAAGCCACATTGTTGAAGTGCAGCCTGTGCAATACTACTCTTGTGAATCCACGTTTCATCCCCTCTAATCAGACGGGCATGAAAGTTATCGTAATCAGCATTGTAGATGTCCAAGAGCTCACGACTGGATTCAACTCTCTGGTGTCTATCTTGTGCATTTAAGTTTCGTGGCACCTATCTTGCAGACACCTTGGGCATGTGCAAGTGCTCGTGAATTATGGTGCAAATATTTCCATGAGAAATGCCACACTCTGAAGATATCTCGCCCACCTTTATTCTACGGTCGGACATGATTAAGCCCTAGACCCGTCAACCATATCATCTGTAATGGCTTCAAAAGGCCTTCCTGACCGTGGGTCATCGTCAAAGGAGCTGTGACCCCACTTAAACCCAGCTGACCATTTCGCAACAGTAGAATATTGAGGGCCTTCCTTCCCATACACATTGGCCATACGTTTATGTTTTTCGGTCGCATTCACCCATTCTTTCGTGAGAAACTTGAATACCGCACGATGCTCAGTTTTAGATCTTTCGGGATTACAGGAGGCTACCTGTGTTCAAGTTCAACAGGCTGTAAATCTTAAGTAAATGATCGGGAGGGTTGTTGATGTCTGTAAACTGTCGTCAGATGGCCTATCTCAATAATGACATCAACGATGATGTCTTCAGGGGTGTATCAATACTCACTTCTATGAACTTATCGACTTCCCCTCGTATATATGTTTATAAGCTTTAAAAAGAATTTGTCGAAAACGTTACCCAATAAAAACTTGGACGTATCCAGATCTTAAACCGTTCTAATAACAATATATCCAAGTATATTTGTGATTCACGACCATTTGAACAATTCCCGTCAGTTTCAAAAGGAAGTCACGTTAATTGTGACACGTTTAGAGCAGCAACCCCTGGAAAATTTAACCAATGGTTGTTTTGCTCAGTTCTCTTTTAATATAAAATAAAATGCAAATTGGCAATATCACTTTAAATCAGAGACGATATTTAAATCGTGATATATGCTGGTGATTAATTTTGACATGCGCTGCAATGTTTTTGTATTCAAAATTGGTCTCAGACTTATTAAGCTTTTTAGCTTGTTCAAATATTTGAGAAAATTCTTTATGAGCAGGAAATCTTTTACTTAAACTCTTTTATGACCCCTAACAAAAGTTGAACACCGATTTGCAGTCGTACTTTACAGACAAAAACAAGTTGTTATGACCATTTGCTATTTTTTGAGGAGGACGTATCTACATATCTTTCCTCTCTAACAAATATCATCAGACCTGTGTTGCTGTTATCGTGTTGGTTTTATGTAATTACACCATAAATAAGAGGATTACGTTTTTTACTTGATCCACTGAACAAAATGAAATAAAATGTCATTCTGCATCATCGACATTTAATCGGCTTTTTAGGGGATAAAGGTCCTGAAATAATCTCAGCGACGAATGAACAACCTTTCCGTTATTACACAATTCCAAAGCCCGGGGGCGATTTAACAGGATATAAATTAAACTTTTAATTTGTGACAGTTCGGCACTTCTGTATTCGACGGCCTTTGGCATAATATGCTGTTTTGTGCTGTGAGAATGAATAAATAAAATCGGGTTTAACGTCCTTTTTTTCAGCTCCGATCGGGCTAATGAAGACGGGCATACGTAATGCAGTGTTCTATAGGAGGGCGATTTAACAGGATATAAATTAAACTTTTAATTTGTGACAGCTTCGGCACTTCTGTATTCGACGGCCTTTGGCATAATATGCTGTTTTGTGCTGTGAGAATGAATAAATAAAATCGGGTTTAACGTCCTATTTTCAGCTCCGATCGGGCTAATGAAGACGGGCATACGTAATGCAGTGTTCTATAGGAGGGAACTTTAATTGAATTCCGACTGTCATGAGTTCTTGTACGTGCACGACAAGTTTGTTTGTCCCATCTGCACGATTAGACGGTAGCAGAAAAATTTAAAAACAGAATTATTATTGTTTATTTTCCTGGGCGTTTTTAATAGATAAGATGTTTCACTCAGGATGTTTGTTTTAAATAATTATTTCTTGAACTTACACGAAACTCGGTGGTTGTCTTTAAATTAAGTCTTTAAATGGACAATAACGCTCTTGCTGGCTTGACAGCTCCAGAAAATAAAAAAAATAGACTTGTTCTAAGTACTAGATGTGTTAGTTGAATTTTTCCAATTTTTTAAATTAGGTGTGTTAAGATGAAATTTGTATTAGAATATTGTAAAATAGTATAATTTGTTGACCAGAATAAAGATTAGAACATATTATTCGGTTACAACAAGAGTGGTATTGAGCCTTTAAGATGGTATTGCATGTCTAATAATATGGTTAGTGATTTGTAGAACATCTTACTTAAAGGGACAATAACACTCTTGCTTGCTTGACAGCTCCAGAAAATAAAACATAGCCTTATTCTAAGTACTAGATGTGTTAGAGTCCTACCTCTTGTGTAAATTATCCATTAAATCCTATTTTACTTGTCCAAAGGGTTCAAAAATATTTTTAAATCCAAGTCACATTTGAAAAGCTTTACGTCAAGCTTTTCAAATCATTTAGTTGAATTTTTCCAATTTTTTTAAATTAGGTGTGTTAAGATGAATTTTGTATCATCAGTTAATTGGAATATTGTAAAATAGTAAAATTTGTTGACCAGAATAAAGATTGGGACATATTATTCAGTTACAACAAGAGTGGTATTGAGCCTTTAAATACAACTACTGTCGTCACAATATTTTATTTTTCGGTGTATTTAGAGAAGCATTACGTTTTTGAGCATTATCACCAATAGCTAAAATAACTATTTTCGATTTGACTTTATTATTATACAATTACACCAGTGATGTTTAAATCAGATAGCATGCTTTTAAAGTTAAGACTAAATTGCAAATCATCTGCTGTGATATAAAGGTCTTAACTTTCAATTCCAAGTGTTTAAGGGATTTAGCGGATGGCTTTCGCAATCTTACTCTTTGTGGGCCGGTGTTTGGATTTTCGATAATTATGTTAGTACAAGGTAATATTGAATTAAATGTTCTATATTATTGATTATATTTATAGTCATGGTGGAAAACTGCTAATGACTATTTAGATGGAGTTTGATAATTTGTGGAAAAAACATCGCACAATAAGCTGCGATTGGCTAGTAAAAGAAAAGGTCGTAATGTATGCGTCCGAGATCACTCAACTAGCTCTTTACCTAGATGTAGCCTTATGGTGCTAAAAAAATCTATTAAAGCTAGACTCCTGGTATAAAACTAAACTTATGAAATATGAATAGGCACTATTGGTTGGGAGTGCCTTTTTCAAGTCGAATGGGGAGGACGGAAATTCCCACTTACCGTGTTGGAATGGTCAGGGTTAGGGTTATTCGATTACTGAAGAATCCAATATGACGTCTGGAATAGGTTTCCATTCACAGCGCTGCTCTAAGCTAACTACTTTTATATATTTCGTCAAACATAAATTATAAAATGAATCCAGCTTGAAGAAAAACTGATCCACATTATTATTTTAAAAAATGTTCTCTCCCAATTTATCATTTTAGCGTTCAATATTTAAGATTAATATCATTTGGTTAAGATGACAGGTAACTATTAGATATGATTAACGACTTCTAACATACAAAGCTTTTCTCAATTTCTATTATTTATATCGACTATAACATGTTTGTATAAAATCTATAGGGAGAATCCTCTAGGCAACAGTTTCATCAACATTTACTCTTTCAAAATTCGCATGACAGCAACGCAGTCAATAATTGCATTATAATAGGACTTGCGCTTGCCATTTACACGGCGATCCATGCAATGCAAG